TTACATAAAGCTGGAAATACCACAGTAAGCTTTTAGCAAGCCCAGTTTGAGAAATCTAGTTTTGAAATGCCGTTTTAGGATATATTGATTTTACCACTTTAAAAGAGCAGGGAGGAAACTATTTGGGTTTTGGAATATATGAAGTGGGCAAACTAAAACCTTTGGAATTTTTATGGAACCAGAGATTCAAGTATAAGCAAATCTTGGCAGCAAACTAAATCTAACTATAGCTTTTAAAGACCAGATTCTTTCCAAATTAAATTATGCAGCAGTATTAACCATGAGCAAAAATAAGAGAAAGCAATGAATGATAACAGATCTGTTTTTATCAGGGTCAGAATAACAGAGTTGGGAGGGACCTTGGAGGTCTTCTAGTCCAACCCCCTGCTCAAGCAGGAAGCCCCATACTATTTCAGACAAATCGTTGCCCAATCTCTTTTTAAAAACCTCCACTGTTAGAGCACCCACAACTTCTCGAGGCAAGTCATTCTACCGATTAATTGTTTTCCCTGTCAGGAAATTTCTTCTTAGTTCTAGGTTGGTTCTTTCCTTGATTAATTTCCATCCACTATCACACCAACTTAGAGAGCAATAATGATTTCTTAAAAATAAAGTTAGGGTATTAACTCTGAACATCACAGTGAAAACTGGTCAAGGAGATTAGGGAAAATTGACAGAGAAGGGGTACTGGAGATTCTATAATGTAAAAACAAACCATTCTTTCCTGATTCAACTTAGACCTGGATTAGAGGGCATAAGTCTGTTCAGCTGTTTCTTCAAGAACAAAAGAGGTTCCTAAACCTTAGGCCTCTNCTGAGCCTTTCTGCAGATTCATTAGTGATTTGGTAATTTAGAGATCACCAATACAGAAATAGTATGACTAAAAAAACATACATTTTTGTTAGTTTAGTATAATGGTTAAGGTGCTTGCCTAAAAACCAGGAGACTAGTGATTTTACCATGTTTCCTTGAAAGTAAGGCCTACCCCGGAAGTACGCCCTAGATTGATTTTGGGGGGGATGGGCCTAATATAAGCCCTATCTCAAAAATAAGCCCTAGTTTTGTGGCGAGGCACACACCTAAAAATCAAGGTAGGGTGGGGGTGTGTGGAGCTGCCCCATGTGCCCGCACCCACTTACCTTTCACAGCCAGGCCTCTCCTCGCTGGCCCACTTCTTCTGCGGCGTCTTCTGCAGCCAGGCCTGCATTTCTCAGTCACAGGTCTTTCTGGAAGGCCTCTGCAGCCAAGAACCGAGCTATGGATTCAATCCATAGCTCAGTTCTGTAAGACCTCTGCAGCCGAGAACCGAGCTATAGTACTCAGCTGCAGAAGCCTTCTGGAAAGGCTGAATGCAAATGCAGGCCGGAATGTAGCTGCAGAATGAAGCTGCTCCTTTGGCCACAGAAGAAGTGGACCAGCTGGGTGCCGGAGGTGAGTAGGAGACACCCCCCGAAAATGAGACCTGGTGCCTCTTTTGGAGGCAAAAAAAAAAAAAAAGATCTAGTGTTATTTTCGGGGGAACACGGTACTTCTGTCTTAGGGAGAAGAACCAGTTGGTGACCTTAGACCAGTCACTCTTTCAGCCCAACCCACCTTATAGGGTTGTTGTGGAGAAAATAAGCAGAGAAGGGAGTATTATGTGTTATTGTGTATGTTCACTGCCTTGAATTATTGATAAAAATAATAAAGGTGGGAAAAAATCTAATAAATAAAAATATTTCTTGCCAACCTCTCCATATAAGAAAAAAAAGGAAAGCGTGAAAAAAATTAAAATTAAATTCATCATAATTTTACCTCCCAATCTATGTAGCTTGCTTAGCATACTTATATAAAAGAAACAAGTATATGCTAAAACATCTCCTATTTTTCCACAATCCGCTGAACCTATTGAATTGAGCCCTAAGCCTATTTAAATGAAATTCCCAAATTTAAACTTCTAGAAGAAGCAACACTGTGAGGATGTTTTATCTACCAAGAAGTAACACATTTATTTGTTTATTCAATCAGCATATGCCATTCCATGCGTGGAGGCTGAGAGGTTTTTAATTTTAGTATCAGGACATTAAAAACAAAAATCAATTAATAAAATCATAAACAATGAGTCCAATGTATCACCATTCAGAGTAGCATGATCTTGCTGGTCTCAAGCCATATTTGTGGCTCCCCAAAAGCATAGTAAGGAAGAATGAATAGGATACTCAAGGAGGTAAACTGTTCCAAATGAGTGAAGTCATCATTGAGAACATTTGAGCTTGAAGATGACATTCCCTCAATAGACTTTCTTTTCCAAACGTTATTTGATAGGCAGATTCCACTTGTACACTTCTGATTGTAATTTAAATTGTACCCAGAGCTAATTGATAGCAGTGCAGGCTGTATTAGTGGTATCAGGTAGGTGAATCTTAGTGCACTTATTATCTACCTAGATGGCTCCATGTTGCACCAACTGAAGCTTTCAACAACATCCCCATGTAGATCACACTGCAACAGCCCAGCTGACAAAGATATGAATAATTGTTAAAAAAAGGAATCCACGAAAGGTCACAGCTAGTGCAGAAGATGCAATTGTGCAAAGTGCATGACCACAGCTTCCACTTCCCACTGTGGCTACAACTATGAGGAGGAGCTTCAAGTTGCAGCTCAGATCGGTCTGGGAAGAACCACTCCATTCAGAGTAAACGTGACTCTCTCCAAAGAGAGAGAGAAACGGCATTGGTCACGTTGGTCAATGATCTCTGGAGGGCCCGGGACAGGGGTTATTCCTCTGTCCTTGTTCTTTTGGACCTCTCAGCGGCTTTTGATACTGTGGACCACGGTATCATGCTGCGGCGACTCGGTGAGTTAGGAATGGGAGGCACCGTTATGCGGTGGTTCTCTTCCTTCCTCACCGACCGTACGCAGT